GGCTATAAAATGGGTGGATGGAAACCCAGGTGTGGTCTCAGGCTCCGCAAGGTCTGAGCTGTGTGCCCTTGGGCAGGTCCCTTGACTCCCTGGTGTGTGCAGTGTGGCTGTAAGGCTGCTGTCTTGGAGCAGCCTGAGGCAGACCTCATGGGGCTGTAAGGGCAGGTGGCCACCATTGCTGACTCGATGGCTTCAAGCTGAGCTCAGGACAGAGAGCTTGAGGCCGGAGTGTGAGGACCAGGTTTGTGAGACCCGGGCCTCATCCGCCCCACCGTTCATCTGCTTCCTGGCTCTCTATATCTTCCTCTACTGTGGGGAGGGGGGGGGGTTCCTGGCGATGTCTAAGCCCCCTTCCAGCTCTCAGACCAGAGGATTCCTTGCGAGGCACATCCTCCAGGTTACACTAGAAAGCTGCCTCCGAGGTCCTTCTCGAACGCCCCTCACCCTCTGAGAAGGTGCCTGTGATTCACCCTGTGCGTGTTCTCTGACACAGGGCAGCGGTCTTCTGTTCCTGTGCGCTGCCTTTCACCTTCAGACTAGGAGCCACCTGATGGGAGGACTGGGCCTAATTTCTCTCATCACCTTCATCCGTGGTACCCAGCACCAACCTTGGAATAGAATAATCCTTCAGGAATGTTTGCTGGAGAACAAACACATGAGTACCCAGGGCTACATTAAACAAACTAAACTCAACTGCCATCGAATCGTAGCGACTATATAGGACAGGGCAGAACTGCCTCTGTGGGTTTCTGAGACTGTTTATGGGAGTAGAAAGCCTGGTTTTTCTCCTACAGAGCGTCTGATGATTTCGAACTACTGACTACGAGGTTATCAGCCCAAAGTGTAACCACCGTGTCACAAGGGCTCCCATGCCCAAGGCTGTAGATACCTGGGAATTTAAAATAAATAATTCGTGCACACTCCACTCACACTAGCTGAAAGTCAGCCCAGGTCTATTTGTCTGTCTGCCTGTCTGCATCTCTTTGGACTTCCCCTGTAAGGGTGGGGCTGGAGAGCAAGCGATTACTACATCTGGCAGAGGGGTTTTCTGAGGATGTTGTTGCTCACACAGAAAAAATCTTGGCCTTTCCTTGAGACAAAGAATAACAATCTCCAGGCTCCAGGCCTCCTGAAACCCTGTCTTCAAAATTCCCAACCCCTTGGCACTTTCCTACGAGGGCAGTGGCCCTTTGGTGACAGTGGAGGCTGGGCCCAGAGCTTGTCCCTAAGACTCTCAGGAGAGGAGGTTAACTTATTTGAGTTTACTCGGGACTTTCCCCAGGTGACAATTCATGGCACGAGAGTAACCGCAAACAGCACTTCTATTCACTGAGATAAGAGCCCGGGGGAAGATGGACTGCTGGGGCCAAAGCCTGGCTGTGTGCAGGCAGCCGAGCACACCGCACTCCTAAGGACCAGAGCAGACAGTGCCGTTTTTTTCTCGCTGGATTGTCTGCTTTGCAGTCTGGCTTACAGGTAAGCTCATGTATTAATCTGGAAGCTCATATATTAATATGGGTGAGCAAGCTTAAGGCTGAGCACCAATCATGAAGCCAAATTTCGGCTGTGCCAGCAATGTGACCTTACTCAATTGTCCTGAGCAACCTAGTCACTTGTTCTGAGCTTCGTTTTCCTCCTCTGTGAAATGAGGAGGGTACTGAATGCCTGATAGGGGGGTAGGTATTAATCCTTTCATACGGATTCATTTGTTTTCTTCCAAGAATATTCCATTCACTCACTGCCACCAAGTCAATGCCAACTCATAGTGACCTTACAAGACAGGGTAGAAATGCCCCTGTGAGTTTCCCAGACTATAATTGTTGACGGGAGTAAAACACCTTGGTCTTTCTCCCACAGAGCTGCTGGTGGTTTCAAACTGCTGACTTTGCAGATCACAGCCCAACTCTTCACCATTAGGCCACCAGGGCTCCGACTCTACACATACCGATAGCATTGCACACACGCCTATAATATAGTGGAGGCCGTGCCAAATGCATGAAATACTTAAGATGATAAAATACAATCTCTGCCCTCCAGCAGAGCATTGTCCAGACAAAGCAAATACTAACACTCTGGAGGATTTCCCACATCACCTGCAGCTGCTCCTCCTGCACCTCTATGCTTGTGTGCAATGGCTACACAACCAAACCGAAAGTACACAGACATTAGAGCTGGGATTGAACAATGGGTTTGACACATACCGCTTAGGGAACCCGCAAATTATGCAGTTCACTGAGCCTCACTTTCCCTCTCTGTAAAACGGGGATCGTAATTCTCACTTCACTTATCTTAAGAGTGCCAGTGTTAGATTAAATGAGCCAATGTATGAGAAAGCCATTTTGTTTGTTTGTTTAACTAACACTAGTATCAGGTTTTATAGTTTTAAACTACGACTTTCTCATCCAGAGACCGCAAAAATGCTGCGGGCCCACCTGGCTACAATCCTTCTTTTAAGGGAGGTTTCTGTGACCCCAATCCTAAAACCAAACCCATGGCCACACAGTCAATTCCAACTCACAGCGATCCTACAGAGGGTGTTGGAGACTGTAAACCTTTACAGGAGCAGACAGCCTCATCGTTCGGTGGAGCAGCTAGTGGGTTAGAAAGACTGCTGGTTGGCAGCCCAACGCTCATCCCATAGTGCCACCACCAGGGCCCAGCTGGTACAACAAACGGAACAAGATCATGCTGGCATGTTGAGCATCTCCTCGTTTTGACAATGTTCGAAACAACACTGCAGGATATGCACCTTACAGGAGGATGCTGAGCTTCGGAATCAGCAAGGAGCAAATGACGCAGCGCTCCTTGGAAAGAAGAGCAGGTCTCCTTCCTTTCTGCCCAGCTCAGTGGCTTCTCCTTTGTTCTGATCCACTCAGGCCCTGGATACTTGTGAAATGGGATCCTCTTAGAGTTTCCCAGACACCCAGTCTAACCTGCCTCACCCAGAGGCTGTGGGACCATCCGCCCAAACATCCTATTTCCTTACCAGTTTACACTCGACATGATCCCTGAGAGCAAAATGAAAATGGCCCGGTGGCTAGATGCTCCCCACAGCCCTTAACAAGCTGGCTGGTGATGTCTTACACACTTAATGACAAAGGCCTGAAAGGAGGGGTGACCTGGATGTTTATGGGGTGCTAATTGATGGTAACAAAACCTGCTAGCACTCAGGTTCTCCTCTCTTCCCCCGGCCTCTTTGACTGGGAGGAACCGCAGAAACCTGAGATGCTCCCTCGCATCTTATTATGTTTTCATATCCCTCCATATTACCCCCCTCCTTGTCCTTAAAAGGAATTGCTTTATTTTTCCTTCTCCAATTCCACTCTGGCATCAAAGCAGTAATGCAATTTCCCAGAGAGTGGCTGATGAAAACCAAATAGGATCACGCTAAAGAATATGCTTTGACAATCCACAGGGATTTCACATACTGTTAAATGGTCCTTTGTGAAATTTGGGTACCTGTACCCCTCTTAGTCTCCCATTTTCTC